GGTCTATATGATGGTAGCCCGTTTTGCGGGGGGCGTATCAAGGCAATTGAAGAAAAACCAGTGACAACTGAAGCGCCAAACCAGTGACAACTCTAGCCCAGCTGCCACATTAACATCAGCAGATTTTGTGCTGTGCCTTCATGATTCTAGGATCAGTTTTTTATTTTTATGTAAATACTGTTTTATTGTGATTGTAATTATTTTCAGTTATGATTGTAAATTTATTTTTCAGTTATATATCTTGAATGCCTAAAATTAGGCCTTTTGGTTGTATAAATATACAGAGCATGAATAGAAATAAGTGTGAGTTCAAAATACAAATCCTAGCAGTGTAACTTCTCTATAGTTTTCAGGTATTCTTTTGTTCTAATTATGTTGACTAAAAAGTGTAATATATTATAATTGATGTTCTAGATTTATCCTACATATAATGCTTGTGCCAGGTCGCAGTTGCTTACACTGTGATTTTCTAGTAGTGCTTGCTTTACAAAGTGGTGAGTATTATGTTTGGTCTGGAGATATTCTATGTCGAAACTTTGGAGGCTTGGAAGAAGACTTTTCGCTGTGACCAGAAGCTTTTCCAAAGTTGTTTTCGCTGGGGAATTATTTACAGAGTTGCAGGCTAATGCTTCCCTCCTTTTCTTGTTTTGGTTGTGTGTATATGCAGTTGGCTTTTGTAAACCAAAAGTCTGGCATTGTTTTTGTTGTGTGGTCATTTTGTATGTCTCTTTGAGGCTGCTCTATTGGCTTTTGGAATGTAATCCATGCCACCTTTTTGTTTTCTTGGCTTGGTTGCTGGGCTTGTCCAGGGACTTGACTTTGTAGGGGTTGGGACTTATTTTTTATTCTTTATACAATTACCTTACCCAAAAATATACAAGAAAGGTTATGGAAACCGGAGAAACAAAGTATATTGAGATGACAAAAAATATTTGTAATGCCTATATTATTTTGACAATAAAAAATTTGTCATGTAAAAGTATTGGTATTAAAAATTATTTGTCATGTTATTAAATTTTTTACAAAATTATTTTTCTCACTATATAATTTTCGATAAATAATATTATCATATAAACAAACATGTGACAAAGTAAATGTTGTTACAATAAAGTCCATGACAAAGGAATTTTGGTCACCATTAAAATTATGAGAAGATAAATTAGTCATTATTCACAATTTTTGATAAAATCAATTTCATCACCATATATTATTTTTTCACTATAAAGCTTATCATTTGGTATTTAAATGTAAATCAATTATGATAAAATATTATTTATAGTGATAAAAATTGTCTTCTATCGTTACAAATAATTTATCACAATAAATTAGTTTAAAGTGACAAATTATTATTGTCACAATAAATAATTAGGCTATGGTGACCAAACACTCTTTCGTCACCATACACTTAAGAGTACGAGCTTAATGTGATTAACCTGGTGACCAATATAATTCATTATATTAAAAAAATAGTCACAATTTTGATATTTATAGTGACAAATTATTTTGTTGTGATAAGCCTAAATTCTTGTAGTGCCTATTGCCACAAAAGGAGGGTCTTAATATTATGTGTCTTTTATTGATGATCATACTCGTTATTTTTGGGTTTATTTAATGAAACATCGTTATGAATTCTTTGAGATATATACAGCCTTTTGTTAGCGTGCCAAATGCACCAAATTAATTAACCTTACTAACCTAACTACTAAATTGTATATAGGGTGAGCAAGGGTTGATCCCACAAGGAATAATTCGATTAAATCCTAAATTCTATGCCAATAGCCACAATGAAAACAACATAAAAATACAATAAAAACTCTAAACAGTAAATAGGAAAACACAACAGAGTAATGAAATGGGGTGTGATCAATGCAGGCTAAACTGAAAACAAATAATGGTAGAAAATATCAGATTAAAACACCAGTTCTCGGTTCAAGATCCACCTAAACATGCATTGGATATACTAACTGTAACATTATTCTGTCTCGTTATTATGGAACTACTGACCCTAGGAAACAACAAGCTCTGTTACCCAAATTCTCCCTTAATCGTCATTACTGAAATAAGCTCTTCAAATAGATCCTAACCCTCGAACAACCTAGAATAAGCTCTCTAAGTTTAATTCAATGGCAGCCTTAAGAATTAGGAAAATAGANTGGCTTAGAGGTTGAGTTTGCTTGTGAGAATGTTATTATATAGGGATGGCAAATTATGGGTCATGGAACAACCCAACCTACCCCATTTCTTGTATCTAATATTGGGGTGGTTTGGGCAAGATACATTTGGGTTGTGGATCCCACTCCGATCCACTTTGAATGAATTCATTGTATTATTATCATGTTTAATATTATCATTATAATATATTTTTTAAATAATTATTTTTGCGTATAATTATCATTAATATTATTATAAATAATCGAATTTTTTTATTGTTTATCAAATTTATTTTAGAATAATTGTTTTGTTACATAATTAAAAATTAAATTTATGACATAATTAAATCTATTGCTTTAGTGATTGTCTTTTTTTTTTTTTTTTTTTTAAATAACAAATTATATTCAATAAATCTTTTTTAAAAAGTCTTGTGAGAACTATTTTAATCAAATTATCTCAATTACGTTTCTATGTAATCATTAAACAGAGCATTATCAAATATTATATCATTTATATATTCATCCAACGAAGTCATACTTAGAGTTATGTGATTTTACTATTTATAACTCAAATCTAATTAAATTTAGAGTTTTGATTGTTTATTTTTCTTTTTCAAATTGTCACTTAATTCTAGAAAAAAGATTTCTTACTTAAATCTAAAATATGAAAACTTTTTATGAACACATGAACCTAATTACCTAAAATACCTCTAATCATAACAAATTTAAAACTTAAATAAAAATGTTAAAAAAGTGTCCTATAATTTATTTTATGTATAACACTTTTTAATTAAATTTCCTTAATTAATTAATTAAGTTCCCAATTGCCAGAATCCAGTGTCAGCTATTAGATTCCAGTTGTTGGAAAACTTTAGGTAATAATATTGGTATCAATTGATAAGAAATATAGGGTTATTTGTGTTATTATTTATTAAGGGTAGAATAGTCTTTTCATTATTTCCTTTGTTTAGCCTATATATAGTCTCTTTGTATTTAGGTTAAATCATTCTTTTGTATTTGATTGTATTGTGCAGTATCAATGAAACCCTAGCCTCCTCTTTTTCTTATTTCATTTGGAGTGTTTAACATGGTATCAGAGCCAAGTTTCATGTATTGTGTTATTGGATTTTTTTTGTTTTGGAGTGATCGTACAATTTCGAGAGGGTAGTCGTTCAATTTCTGCAGTCTGCTATTTCGTTTTCCTTTCTTTTGCGTTCTGGTTTTCTTTGTTTTTTTATTGTGGCTACTGAAAAAGACGATTCACTTCAGTCTGTGAGTGTAAGGTTAGATGGAAAGAATTATTTGTATTGGAGTTGTGTGATGAGAAATTTTCTTAAGGGTAAAAAGATTTGGGGATATGTTAGTGGAACTTCTGTGAAACCTAAGAATACTGATGAGGGTTATGCTGCTTTGATAGATGTTTGGGAAGCAAACAATGCAAAAAATTATTACTTGGATTAACAATTTTGTTGAGCATTCCATAGGTACATAGTTGGCGAAGTATGAGACAGCAAAGGAGGTTTGGAATCATCTGTAAAGGTTATTTACTAAATCAAATTTTGCAAAGCAGTATCAATTGAAGAATGACATACGAGCTCTTCACCAGAAGAATATGAGTATTCATCAGTTTTATTCTGCTAGGACAGATCTTTGGGATCAATTGGCTCTTATAGAATCTGAAGAATTAAAGGCATGTGGTGCTTATATTGCTCATAGAGAACAGCAATGGTTGGTACAGTTTTTAATGGCACTTCGCAGTGATTTTGAAGGACTTAGAGGTTCCATTTTGCATCGTTCTCCACTTCCTTCTGTTGACTCAGTTGTCAGTGAGTTTTTGGCTAAAGAAACACGTCTTAAGTCTTATTCTGAAAAGGGAATTCTTTCTACTTCTAATCCTTTTGTGTTAGCAGTACCTTCTAAGCCACTCCTTAATAATCAAAATAAGCCTTACACAAGGGTTGCCTTCGACGAGTGCAGTTTTTGTAAGCAGAAAGGTCATTGGAAGGCTCAGTGTCCTAAGTTGAGACAGCAGAATCAATCGCAGCAGCAATCTCAAGCTTGGAAGCCTAGCAACCAGTCACAATATAATGCTCATAGAGCACCTCAGGGTTACAAACCACCACAGTCTAATACTGCATCAGTAGTTTCATCAGGTCCTTTCACAGATCCTAGTACTCTAGCTGAGCAATTTCAGAAGTTTCTCTTCTTACAGCCACAAGCAATGTCTGCTTCTTCTTCCGTAGGTCAGTCCCCTCATAGTTCTTCAAGTATGTCATATTTTGTGTGGGTCTTGGATTCTGGTGCTTCACATCACATGTTTCCATATTCTTCATCTTTTGCTTCTGTGTCTCCTTCGTCTTCTATTCCTATCATGACTGCTGATGGCACTCGTATGTCTTTAGCAGGTGTTGGTTCTGTTGTCACACCTCACTTGTCTCTCCCTAATGTTTATCATATTCTGAAACTCAAATTAAATCTTGCTTCTGTTGGTCAGTTATGTGATTCTGATAATTTAGTCACCTTTCCCTCTTTTTCTTTTTATGTGCAGGATCTGCAGTCTCAGAAGCTGATTGGGACAGGCCGTAGGAAGGGGGGACTATATATTTTGGATGAGTTAAAAGTGCCAGTTGCTGCTGCTACTAGTATTAATTTGTCTTTTTTTGGTTTGAGTCATTCTTCTTCTAGTTTTCATTTATGGCATTCTCGTTTAAGTCATGTTTCGTCTTCTCATTTGAGATTTTTGGCCTCCACATGGGCTTTAGGAAATTTGCAAACTTGTGATATTTCTGATTGTAGTAGATGTAAACTGGCAAAATTTTCAACTTTACCTTTTAATCGAAGTATTTATGNATGTTCCCTGAGAATGGTGGTTATGTGGTTTGGGTTTCATCTGCCTTAGGTCCCTATTGGGGGTTTCAGCAAGGTTGGATGAAATGGCTAAGTGGGGTTATTGATAATGCTTTGTATCCGGTTCTGTTTCTTGACTACTTGAAGTCAGGTATTCCGGAGCTAGGTGGTGGTTTACCTAGAACCTTTTCAGCATTAGGTTTAACTGCTATTCTCACTTTCTTGAACTATAGGGGTTTAGTCATTGTGGGATGGGTTGCTATCCTTTTAGGGGTTTTTTCACTTCTTCCTTTCATAGTTATGGGACTTGTGGCAATCCCAAAGTTGGAGCCTTCAAGATGGCTTGTGGTGAATCTACATGACGTGGATTGGAATTTGTATTTGAACACTCTTTTCTGGAATCTAAACTATTGGGATTCGATAAGTACATTAGCTGGGGAGGTGGATAACCCAAAGAAGACTCTCCCAAAGTCTCTGTTTTATGCAGTGATCTTGGTTGTTGTTGGGTATTTCTTCCCCCTTCTTATTGGTACAGGTGCTGTTCCACTTAATCGTGAGCTGTGGACTGATGGTTATTTTTCAGACATCGCAAAATTGCTTGGAGGAGTTTGGTTGAGATGGTGGATTCAAGGGGCTGCAGCAATGTCAAATATGGGTATGTTTGTGGCTGAGATGAGCAGTGACTCTTTCCAACTTTTGGGGATGGCTGAGCGTGGAATGTTGCCTGAGTGTTTTGCTAAGAGATCCTGTTATGGAACTCCCTTGATTGGAATTTTATTCTCGGCGTCTGGTGTGATTCTGCTGTCATGGCTGAGCTTTCAAGAGATTGTAGCTGCAGAGAATTTCTTGTACTGTTTTGGCATGATTTTGGAGTTTATAGCATTTGTACAATTAAGGATGAAATATCCAGCTGCTTCTCGTCCTTACAAGATACCCATTGGGACAGCTGGATCGATTCTTATGTGTATTCCTCCAACCATATTGATTTGTGTTGTGTTGGCTTTTTCTTCGCTCAAAGTTGCTGCTATAAGCCTTGGTGCTGTGGTGATTGGCCTTGTGATGCAACCTTGTCTGAAGTATACCGAGAGAAAGAGATGGATGAAATTCTCCACCAATGCGAACCTCCCAGATTTTCATGGCCATAGCCAAGAGAGTTCTAATGCACTAATAGAGTAACAAATCCCAGCTAAAGTTTGAGAGGCTAAGAATCAAGACGTAGTACAATATTGCTAAGTGGCCAACATCGAATCCCTTGTCACGTGGTATCAAGGTTAGAACAATATCTGTGACAAGTAAGCCACAGTTTCTTATTTATAAACAAATGTGCCTATTTAATTGTGTAGTGATAAATGGCAACAGCTGTTCATCATCTTTGGTTTTTGAGTGATGATAGACGGAAATGGTCATTGAACATTTTGAAATATCCAACATTAGTATCATAAGAAATCATGTTAGTGTTCAGTAGTTTGTTTTACAACGTATGGCAATGTAATTTCAAATAAGACGAACCCTGTGAAATTGTAGATTTGGTAATCGTTGCTACATGCTTATTCCTTTTAGAACTACTATCATTCTTCTATCTTTTGAAATTTAAAGTTACATATATAGAGTTTTATGATATCATCTTTTTCTGAATTCAAGTTCATCAGGGACAGAATACCTCATGCAGACTCTACTCAGCAGAGCTGAATTTCAATTTATCATCCAGAAAATGGACTTCATAAGTCAACATTCTCACAGAATCTATTGCAACATTCTTTCACACTTCAAATGATTCGGCAATTTATGGACCTAATGAGTCTGGAATTGTTTATCTGAAAATAAATGCCAATTACCAGAAGAACATTTGTTGAAGTAGTTTCCGGCGCATCTTATCTTAACTTAATCTGACCTCTTGGAAACTGGGAAGGGATGAGTCTCGCCATCTTTTGAGAAAGTACTTGTTTGTAGAAGTGGCCCTGCTTTGATTTTCGGCTTCTTAATGAGAAAATGCTATATAGATGAAATGGCTTTGTTCTCTCTTCTTTCGCTTACACTCACCTCTTCAAACCGATACCGTCAATTTCCGTTTCCTCCCTAATTGCATATGCTTTTCTTTTGATACGAATTTTGACTTCAGTATAAATGAGCATATCTTCATTGAACATGAGTGGTAATAACAGTTGATTCAATACTCAAAAAGGTTGAAATCAAGAATAGAAAGATCTAACTTTATTACTTCAAAACTTAGAAGGAAATTATAATTAAAAAAAAAAAAAGTGGTTGTTCTAAATTCATTAAAAATTTAGTTGGCTCCACAGACATTGAACTTATAATCTAAAATGCTGGTTGAAAAGGTGGGTTGTTGTAGGATAACTTTCTTTGATGATTAATCGATGTACGTATGAGTTAATCCGAACATTTCAATTAAAAAAGGGGGGGAGGGGGGAGCACTTATAAACATTAAAAGAAATCCGCTTCCTAATCATGTGGGACGTTGCATTAGAGTCCATAACTATTTTTGACTAAATTCTTGAATTTCTACAACTTATATAATAATCCACATTAATTTCAATCGCAGGATGTAAAATTTTATTTACATGGATCTGATCATCCAAAGTTAATTAGAGCTTGTAAAAAAATAAAATTAAAGTTCATAATAAAAATTTACGATATATCAACCGCAGTCATTCTTTGATTAGGAGAAGTGATGCAATAAGCCCACTTAGATCTGTTTTCTTATTTCTCTTCACAAGTTTGGAGTATTTTTTCATTAGATAAAAGAAAATTTTTATAATGGATTATTTTAATTATTTTTGTAAATAAATTTTCAATGGATTATTAAATAAAGGACATTTTTTTTTTCTAAATAGATTATTAAACGAAAATCTTTAACAGTTCCTTTCTCAGAGTAAACAGACGCAAACGCCTAAACTTAACCGGGCACGATTGGCCGTAATATAATCAAAGGAAAACCTAGCTGTTGTTGCATCTGGGTCATCAAGAGAGAGAGATAAAAATGGGTAACAGAGAAGAAGATCTTCACGCGGCAGCAAGGTCCGGTGACCTGAAATCTGTGCAGTTAATACTTTGCTCTAACCCTTTATCCCTCAACTCCAGAGATAAGCACTCCAGAACTCCGTATCCTTAATTGTTTTTTATAAGAATTGATTGAATATAACTATGTCTACATTTTCCACAAATTATGTTAACTTGCTCTTTTTTCATTCAGCTTATTTAGGAACGGGTTTTGAAATTTTTGTTGTATAGCCTGAAATTTGGAAAGGGGTTTTTCTTTTGGAATCATAGCTGTGCCTTTGGATGCTATTAATTGATTTTGTACAGGGTTTAATTACACCAAGTTAAGGTTTTGATATATTTTTCATTGCTTTGATAGGCTATTAGGGCTATTATGTTGCAGCTCCTTAGGTTATTACTTGTGGTCAATAGAGGCTTATCGTTGCCCTACTTTTGAAACCGATCAGATGATGGAAATGCATTTTCTATTACCTTTATGAATGTGCAGCTATTAGACCTTTTTCATATTCCAAAACATAAGAAAGTTTTTGTTCTTGAATTGTTTTGCGTGATTGCTTAATCTGCAGTGTGATGCTAGCTGGCTCTATCAATTGGGGTTCTTTTGTCTCGTTTGATTACTACTTTCAAGTCATGGTGTTTTGATTTGTTTACTTGACGTTAGCGACTGTGTACCGTAGACTACATTTAGCTGCATGGTCAGGGCATACAGAGGTGGTGAGTTATCTCTGCAAGCAAAAAGCTGATGTTGGTGCTGCGGCCATGGATGACATGGGTGCAATTCATTTTGCATCCCAAAAGGGACATTTGGAAGTTGTCCGGGCTCTAGTTTCTTTCGGTGCCTCTGTTAAAGCTCTCACACGCAAGGGCCTAACTCCGCTTCACTATGCTGTTCAAGGGTCTCATCAGGATCTTGTTAAGTACTTGGTTAAAAAAGGTGCCAGTCTCAGTGCCAAGACAAAAGCAGGAAAAACACCTCTTGATCTTGCACGGAGCGAAGAAATCCGCTCCTTTTTGGAAGAATGGGAACAATCGTCTAAGAAAGGAAATCAGAATCCTAAAGAGAAAGCTGAAGGAACTGATTCAATGCAATCGCCAGTGGAAAAGCCAGAGAATTCCAGTGGTGAAGTTGCTTCTGGTATCGATGAAGAACAGGGGGATGCAAGTCTGAAGAGGAAGGGTAATGAGCATGATATTAAGGAAGCCTCATCAGAACCGAAGAAGACAAAAGTAGCGCTTAAACATCTGCTAAGCGCGGACGACACTCAAGAGGATGAAGAAACATTGTAATAAAACATAAGAGTAATTTAATAATGACTGTATCAGTAGAGTAATGGAGCATCATGGAGCTCATTTGCTTCATTGCGTAGGATGATGTAGATGTTTCACTTTATAAAATAGCTAATGTCTTTCCGTTTTCTTCCCTGATATTATTCTGTTTTTAATTTCGGTTTTACCAAATGTTATGTTATAATGTGTAATAGAGCTGCAGCAGCTGTTTCAGAAACATTTCTATGGAAAAAAACTTTTAACTGTTTAACTAATGAGCTCGGTCCAAGATTTGTATGGAAAGAAAAGAAGGGGGTTATTTCATTCATACATTCTTGTGATTTTGACCAAAGATAGAATCTGGGTTTTTATGATGAAATTTTCAAAGGAAAATAAACTTTCAGCTATTTGGTCTCAATTAATTTATCTGCCATAGAATCATGTGAGTAATGGAACTGATCCAAAAATAAACTTTTATTAAGATTTGAGATATTTTCGATTACATAGGTGCATCATTTATCTATTTATTTAAATAAATAATGATATGCCTGCGTTAATGGACCAAATTTTTTTTGAATTACAGTTGACTATGCCATGAAAACAAAATCAACGATGCTCGAGAATTTAGAACCTAGACACCAATGAAATATCCAGGGAGTAATTTGGTTTTAATGTGATAATATATGGCATCTGGGTTGGTCATAGAATTTTTTTTTTATACAAATGTTGACTAGGAACATTCCATTGAATCTAATGGTAATGGTACTTCTCCTTTCATGTTAAATTTGCTTCTAAATAGAATAAAATTGACAATCATTTTGTTTTGAAGTTGTACCTCACACAGCCTTTCAATAATTGAAATAATGATAGATGGAGATTTACACCTGTTTTAGACCTCCATTGCCACTGTCTAATTGAATCATTTTGTCTTGAAGTTGTATCTCATACATCCTTTTAAGAATTGAAATGATGACATATGGAGATTTGCACCTGTTTTAGACCTCCATTGCCACTGACTAATTGAATCATTTTGTCTTGAAGTTGTATCTCATACATCCTTTTAAGAATTGAAATGATGATATATGGAGATTTGCACCTGTTTTAGACCTCCATTGCCACTGACTAATTGAACACGAGGAAACTGAACCAGTGAAATGGTGGAAGATAAATGGGATGACTTCAAGTACTAATTTAAAAATACAACATCCTGGTGAGGTGAGACCACTTTTTGACGGGTGATGGAGCCACTAAATTAAGAAACCCCTTGGGTAGAAGGCTTAAATAAACCATGTCCATTCAATAAGTGATGGTTACAGTCTAGAAATTATGAACACAGACCTTTTTATAGCTCTTTAATATGGTCATTAAAACACTTCAACATCTCGATTTCATAGTTAAAAATATCAAATTACTCGAATTGACTACCATGATAATAAAATTATTTGATTAAATACAATATATGTGACATATTTAGACCTAATAAAACGGGTTCAAACCCGCAAGTTAACCTGTATCCGAGTAAAAACTAATAGGGTACGGATCTACTGCATTAGAGCCGTACCCAACCCAGCCCATATTGCTAGCTGGTTAGATTGGTAAACCCGCAGGTACCTATCAAGGCAATTGAAGAAAAACCAGTGACAACTCAAGCGCCAAACTAGTGACAACTCAAGCCCAGCTGCCACCATTAATATCAGCAGATTTTGTGCTGTGCCTCTCATGATTCTAGGATCAGTTTTTTATTTTTTATGTAAATACTGTTTTTATTGTGATTGTAAATTTATTTTTCAGTTATGATTGTAAATTTATTTTTCAGTTATATATCTTTGAATGCCTAAAATTAGGCCTCTCGGGTTGTATAAATATACAGAGCATGAATAGAAATAAGTGTGAGTTCAAAATACAAATCCATAGCAGTGTAACTTCTCTATATGGTATCAGGAGAGCCAAACCTCTAACGAGTATCTTCCATTCTTGCTTTCTGCAACATGGCTGCCATCCCTGCATCTACCAACGATTCACCCATCATCACCATTAATGCCGCAACCACCATCAACGAAAAACTCACCCCTACTACCTTTCCTCAGTGGAGGGCGCAATTTGAAGCACTGCTCACTGGTTATGATCTCATTGACTTTGTCACCGGTGTAAAAAAATGCCCACCCATTGATGCATCGAACTCCGCTGTCTCCAAAGCCGAGAACTCCCACTGGGTTCGCCAAGATAAACTCATCCTCCACGCCATTCTTGCTTCCACATCCACTACCATTACTCCCCTTCTTGCTGCATATAAAACATCCCATGATGCTTGGACAGCACTTACCCATTTATACGCGGGCAAATCACGGACGCGTGCGATGCAACTCAAGGAGGATTTGACCTTGAGCACTCGTGGAAATCACACCGTCACCGAATTCCTTCAAGCAATCAAAGTGATTGATGACAAACTCGCAATCATCGATCATCCCGTTTTGGATGATGATTTAACTATCTACATACTCAATGGCTTGGGCCCCGAATTTAGAGAAACTGCGGCACCCATTCGTGCTCGTGAGACCTCTCTGAAATTTGAAGAACTACATGATCTTCTTGTAGGCCATGAGACTTATCTTCGCCGGCTGGAGAATCAATCGGCAGCAACATTTGTTCCCACTGCAAATTACTCTCATCGGCAAGGCGGTGCTCCTGGACAGCATAAACCAAGCCCTAAGTTTTCCTCCAACAAGCCTCGTAGCAACAACGGACATAATAAAAATGGGCCCTCCAATTCAGGCTACAGGAAATATAAGCCCAAGTGTCAATGGTGTGATCAAGTGGGTCACACGGCCAAAAATTGCCCAAAAATGCCTTCAGTCGAATTCACTGCAAAATGTGCAGCATCTTCCCATGCAAAAAATCAAAAGTGGCTAGTTGACTCGGCGGCATCTCACAATATGACCACCGATCTCTCTAATCTGACCATTAATTCTGAATATGATGGTACTGATGAGGTGGTAATTGGTGATGGATCAGGTTTGTCTGTATCTCATATTGGTTCATTATCTCTTGCATCATCTAATCGTGTCTTTCATTTACGTGATACCCTTTGTGTTCCCACAATTAAAAAAAACCTCATTTCTGTTCATCACTTTACCAAGCATAACAATGTTTATCTTGAATTTCATCCTACTTATTTTTTGGTGAAGGATCGGATCACGGGGGCGACACTACTCAAAGGCGAATGTGAAGATGGAGTGTACCCATTTCCAGAGCATCTACCATCACACTCCAAACATGCTGTTGCCTATGTTCATGAACGTACTACTGCCGATGGATGGCACAAAAGGCTTGGTTATCCATCGTCAAAAATTTTCCATCATTTAATTCATGCTTTTTCTTTACCAACCAATAAGAATGGACATTTATCCCTTTGTACTTCATGTTCTCAAAATAAAGCTCATCGTCAACCATTTCATTCTCATGGTCTCACTAGCACTACTCCCATGGAATTGATTTACACAGATGTTTGGGGTCCATCTCATGAAATTGGTATTGATGGCTCAAAATACTATGTTATTTTTGTTGACCATTATACCAAATATATTTGGCTCTATCCTATGACTCATAAATCCAATGTTCAAAAANTTTGGGGTGTTTTATAAACCCCTCAAAAATACACTACACTGGTTTTGGGGGGTTTTTAAACCAGTCAAAACCAATCCATTGAAAATCTGGCAAGTAATGGTTTTTAAACACCTCAAAACCAGTCTAATTAAAAACTCTCCAAAACCAGTGAAAAAAAAAAAACTCACAAGCATACCCTTAGCTATGTATGGTTAAGGCCCTAAGAAAATTATTCTGACAGTTTGTCTTTTAATTCAGTCATTACCTTATTTGGTTCAGCAGGTAATAAAAGATTCTAGAAAGATTATTTAGGTAATATGAGAGGTGATATAGAGGGTTATGTGGTTACCGACTCAGAAGGTTTTATTTTAAGATTATAGTGGTAATCCTATCTTTGCTCCAATTTTACCCTTACTTAATAAAAAATTTGGACACAAATGCCCTCCATTGATGTCAAGTAACAATCAACCCAACTTGTTGAATGACATTAATTAATTATTTGGACGAAAATACCCTGTATTAATTGACTTACAAATTTTTTTAAGGCTAATCCCTACCACTTACAAATTGACTTTTCGGCACAAACCTAGGGTTCTTTGTGGGTTACTTTGATTTTCATTGAGATTTTTGGTTGTTTGATGAAATTGAAGTTTAGGTTTTGATTGGTTGATATTGTAGAGTGTTATAGTGTTTGATTTTGGCTAAAAATCCCAACCAACCTTCACCGAATTTTCCCCCTTTGTGCTTGCCCACCAACTATTTGGTCTTTTGCCTATAGAAAACCCCCTAGCTCAGCCAACACACTAATCTTGTAAAGGGCATTTCAGTAGAATAATATTTAAGTATTTTGTAATTATTGACAACCAAACACATTAATTATTTATATAGCCCACACAAACCAAACATAATAATAGTTCATACCAATTAATCTTCAAGGTTATCTATCTCATATTCTCATTGGTAATCCCATCTAGGGGCGTAAATGAGTCAAATCAAGCCGAGCTTTGGCTGCTTGAACTCGACTCGGCTGCTACAATGTTGAGCTCGAGCTTGACATAGAAAAGACAAGCTCGAGCAACCTGCTGCTTCCTTCTTCCTCACCCATGGACCAAAACTAACCAACCAAAAAAAAACTCCAATCAATTCCTTCTTCCTCACCCATGAACTAAAAAAGAAAAAAAAGCAAACAAATTGTGTGACGGATAATAGCATTTGAGTGACAGATTGTTGCGAGGCATTTTATTAAAAGGCCAGATCAAGTTCAAATTTAATTAAAAGGCTATNTTGTAAAACCAGTCACCATACGCACTGTCTTAACCCTTGCTGTTATGCAAGGTTGGTCTCTAAGGCAATTAGATGTTAATAATGCCTTCCTTCATGGGCATCTTACTGAAAAGGTATATATGAAGCAACCACCTGGGTTCAAGAGTTTAGAAAAACCAAATCATGTTTGCTGCCTTAGAAAGGCAATATATGGACTAAAACAAGCACCTCGTGCTTGGTATTCTGCTCTCAAACAAGCACTGTTAGAAGTTGGTTTCGTCAATGCAAAATCT